AGACCAGTTAGGTAAAAAATCGGGGGACCACAAATAGGGTGAGTGGTGGAACGGCGGAGTGTTGTACTGTTGTTTTCTGGTACTGGAGCAGCCTGCAGATATAGTTGGCGAGTGGATATTGAAGGTAGGGGATGATTGCGGAGACATGGTCACATTTAAATTGATTGGAGATTCAGATACAGGAGATACAGGAAATATGGGAGTTACAGGTTTAGATCTCCTTAAATCTCCTTCTCCTTGATCTCCTTGAGACTGTGATCCTTCTCCTTGATCTCCTTGNCCTGAGATTATTAGAATATTTCTTTTTCAGAAATTTTTCTTTTTTCCTCTTCAGCCTCTCTTTCTTATGTAGCTTGACCATCTCTCTAACGTCCCGTTTTCTGGCAATTTGCCAATCTACTTCTGCTTGTTGTTGTTGGGATGTTAGAGTCCAATCGCAGTACAGACCGCCTGTGTCCATGAAAACTGGTTTTGCCGCCATCTCAAACAGCTGAAAACAAGGGGATATTAAGTTTATTAGAGAATTTCAGAGCTGAAATGAATCTTAATATTTAGAAATTAAAATCAACATTTGCAAAGCTTGACGAATTGACAATTTTGGGGTTTTTATTTTGATAATTTCCCCACTCGTTATTTGTTCACCTTGACAAATACACTTGTATAGGTTTATATTATGATTTAACTATTATAATCCTAAGATTTGAGAAATAACTGCCAAAAAGAAAGATAATTTTATAAAGAGTAAATATATAATTATACACTTTTAAAGCTCGCCAACATCAGGAGGCTAGTTTTAAAAACATTTGAGGAGGATACAAAAGAAATGTGTAAATACTGATTGGATCTTTTTCTTTTACTGATAAGTTTTTTAAAAAAGTTCAAAATAGATCTAATATTTATTTAAAGAGTACTACATAACTAGAACGAATTTGAAAATTTGAAAATCCTGGCTTTTCTTACCTCATTTTTAAATATGTTTTCAAATAGTGAAGAACGAAAACCCAAATTTTAAATTTTAAATACTTAAATTTGAATGCTCAGATTCCTTCTACCCAATAGTACGAAATTTTTTCGAATTTGCGTACGAGTATTTTACGAAAAATAGGGGTATTTACGAACCGTTGGTGAAATACGTAATTTGGTAAATAGGGAGATATAAATTTGTGTATTATTAATTCCGTATAGTCGTTTCTACTCTAGATGTCTTACCACTATCACCGAATTTTAAATCTGTCTTACCCTTTTATGTGGGTATACCCTGTACAACCACCTCTTTTTATTAAGTAACCCTGTATACTAAAAACTCATGCATACATTTTTTAATTTTCTTTTAAATTAAAATACAGGGTGTCCCACAAAACATGACAATTGGTAAATAGTTTAGAATTTCTTCTTCCATAATTTGTTAAGTCGTTTGATACCTAAGACAATAAAAATATTATACAGGAGTCATATTATAAAAGTTAACTTCAAAGAAAAATACTTGAGCAAAAATTGTTTTATACGTAATAAACTGCAAACAGCTTTTAATATCTAGAACAGTTTTTGGAAGACGACTTTTAAAACTAATTACCAACTGTCATGTCTCGTGGAACACCCTGTATGAAATGAAATAAATGCACCAAATAAGAAAAATGTTATATCTTAAGAATTGTGGGAAAAATCAGATATTAGAAGACGACATTGAGCTGCAGCTTTCATATTTATTAGGTAAAAGTAGATTTTTGTAATTGTGTGGTTTAGGGAAGGGGCAAAAACTGTGGAAATTTTTAGTTTTTGCTTGAAAAACGTTGATTTTCATAGCTCTATCGCGATTTTTTCCTTCATTAAATTCGTGTAATTTTGAGTTATATGCATTATACTTTAATCTTAATTTTCTTATTCTATACATATATGCATTATACTTTTCTTACTTTTCTTAAGCTATACTTGCTTTGCTTGCTTTGATTGCTTTGATTGCTTTGCTTGCTTTACATGCTTTGCTTGCTTGCTTGCTTTGCTTGCTTTGCTTGCTTTGCTTGCTTTGCTTGCTTTGCTTGCTTTGCTTGCTTTGCTTGCTTTGCTTGCTTTGCTTGCTTTGCTTGCTTTGCTTGCTTTGCTTGCTTTGCTTGCTTTGCTTGCTTTGCTTGCTTTGCTTGCTTTGCTTGCTTTAATTGCTTTAATTGCTTTACTTGCTGCTTTTATACTTGCTTTACTTGCTTTATTTGCTTTACTTGCCTGATTATTTAAATTATCTTTTAAAAATCTAATAAAGTTAATGCAGATGCAACCTTTACATCATAATATATTGAAAGAGATTTAGGTCTTCATAATTGTTGCTTTTATTCCTCTATGATATAATCTAATCCTGATTTACATTGTGGATATATCAACTTTTCAAGATTATTTTTCTGCATCAACTTTATTTCCCTTCACAATCTATATAATAAAGCTCTTCGCTCCAATACATATATGAATATTTATAATATAGCGATATAGCATATAAAGCTGAAAAAACGCGGCTGGACCAAATTGGCTAAAAATGTTGAAGGAAAACCATGGGTATTCATACGGGGGTAACATAGGCTAAACAAGTTGGAAATTTCTTTCTTCAAAATTAAAAAAGATTTCAACGCGTTTTTAAAAATCCACGGTCAACGCCTGGCACTTCAGCTAGTACATAATATTATAGGCTTCTGGGACTCGAATCCATTTTGTTCTTTATTAGATTAGAATAAAATTAAACCAATTCGGCTTAACCGATCCAATCTAAGTAAATAACAATAAAATACTTCCTTCACTCTCAAAACAAAATCAAAAACTGCGAAAAATATTGAATTAACTCCTAATAAATTTCGCAAGAAATCAGATGACCCCTTTTAGAAGTCCAAATAAAAACAAACTTTTTTTTAATTTTGAAAATCCACGAGTAAAGAGGAATTGCGGAATAAGTAAACCTTGCATATTATGATTCAGAAATAAAGGTTTTTTTGCTAAACGGAAAAAATGCCTGTTTCCCTTCTACAGGTAAACTTCTTTTTTTTGTTGCAAATTCATTAAATATATATAGAAAAAAATCATCAAAAACATTTTAAAATTACAAACATAATCTCAGGGCGGGATAACACATTTTTTGAGATAACATTCTGATAATTATTTCGAATAAAATCTTGTTATTTCAAAATGCCTCCGGTCTAGTTAATGTTACTGGTTGTTCAAACAATGTGTGCTGTAATTGTCACGCAGAGTTAGGACTAAATTCAACTCTAAGAGTCAGATCGTCCAATACTTAATTCTCCGTCAAATCTGGATATGCAACAAGGCAGACCCCATTTTGAAAATTTCAAGAAACTTTGGATTCAATTATCCGACCGGTAAAGTTATGTTCACAAAAAAAATCATTTGTCATTAAATCCAAACTTTTAAACAAATATTCATTAACAGTAAATAAACATGACAAATATATGGCCTCCCCATATTAACTGAACGGTTCTTTCGTTAGAGGAGTATTCTGTCAATTTCTGAAGATACAATTTGTTCAAAACTCCTACTTTGGGGTGGATATAACGTTTTCAGAATCAGTTTTTTTTAATTACTAAATAACGAAGACGAAAAATAAAGTAAAAAATACAGTAATCTAATTAAATGGTTTTGTAACATATTTCTCAAAAGAATGTCAATAAATCAATGCTAGAATTAACTATTTCGTTTTCATCATTATATTGATTTTTTCATATTTTCTTTGAATTTATTCGCAAATTTCTTCAAATTCTTCAAATCTTTTCAATAATAATTCCCGAAAATCTGTAGAAAATGTTTGTGAATAATGAGAAAATAGAAACTAATAATTAAACAAGATTACTTATTTTCGATGATAAGATTAATTTTTATTTTCTCAACCGGTTCCTAAACAACTAATTAGTTTACTGTAGAGTTTTGTTTACATTTTTTGTCGTCGTTATTTAATAATTTAAACAAAACCGATTCTGAAAATGTATCCACCCCCCAAAGTAGGAGTTTTGAACGTCGAATTTGCACTCAAACTCAGGATTTACAGATCTTTAAAAAGTTTTATATGTCTCAAATGATACCTAAAGAAGCTTTTCACAAGTCTGCATGCGTACTCAGTTCAACTACCTTACATAGCCGGCCTGTCCCTTTAGCGGATTTTTTTTCTCAATCCTGCTTCAATCTATTGAAAGGTTATTAGTGTTATATTCCGAAAATTACTCAATTCATACCGTAATTTTCGTATATATCAATACAATACAGGCGACTTTTCATTTTAATTCTATTTCTACCAATCTTTCAAATAGTAGATTCACATAAACGTGTAAACATAGAGAATTTTCCTAAACTTGTAAACTTGTGATTTTAAAAAGGCTTATTAATGATCATTGTATTGATATAATCGGCGACCACTGCAGTTTATGTAGCTCAGGCATAAAAATAAACAAAATTTTCCTTAAGTGATTCTTCAATTAACTTTTTTTGTTCGGAAACGAAATTCAGAAATGTTGGTTTTATTTGCCTCAACTTCTTGGAACACTCAATCTAGACCATAGATAAATAAATAAACATAGATAGCTTATGTACGCAAAATCACCAAGAATTGTACAGTTCGCGAACTCATACTTTTAAGGGTCAAAGTGTACTGCAATGATAAGCGGGGTGGTTTGGTGTTTTAATGGATTTCATAATAGAGTGTAAAACAACTCCGTGAATGGAACTATTTGAACAGCAATATTTCACTGAGCAATATATCATATTGACGAGAACTAAAGAAGGACATGAGAAGGACTAAACTAACATAAATTTCTCTCTACAGAACTCATGTACACCACAAGTACTCAATGACATAAGAACAGCCAATGTTCACAACCGACCTAGTTAATCTATATAATAAAACATCTCTGTACATTTTTATCTTTCAAGATGAAAAATGTCGTCTTATGCGCAATCTATCTTTATCTATGATCTAGACTCATACGAACATAAGAAGAAAAATAAATCAACAATGATACAGTCTGACAATTTATTAAACACTTAGAAAATATGCTGAATACGGCAGAAAACATCTACAATCAAATCAATCAATTAACTAATTAATCAGCTCATTAATCAACCAATTAATCAGCTCATCAATTAATCAGCTCATTAATCAATGAATTAATCAGCTCATCAATTAATAAATCAATATAATAAGTGCCTCCCATTATCTATACATACACTTCACACTATATCAATTACAGATGTTTTTTAAAAATGTTCAAACGACTTTTTTTTTGAAAATTTAAGTGCTATTTGCTCTTTTATATCGTTTGAAATTTTACAACAAAGCCAAAAAAGTTTCAGTTTTGCAACCGTTTTGTTGGAATGAACAATGCGCCTTAAAAAAATGATATGCATTCATATAATACTTTACATAATGTGCAGTACAGTGTGCAAGGGGTAAATATCGGCTGTTGAAAAAACCTCCAACATTTCATTTGTAATATCGAACCGTTTAGCATCACGAAACTTTATTCGAAATTATGATCAGAATATTATTTACATAATAATTTGTTGAATGATCCTAGAATTCTGTTTATAATTCCGGACAACATGTTCGAAATTACAGTTGTTCGATATAACGATCAAAATATTCAGATTTCTTCCAACAGAGTGGTTTCAAGTTTAACCACCTGATAGTTTACCCCTGTTTTATACTTAAAACTTTAAATCTATTTTTATCACAGCAAAAACTAAGAACATGTAAGTCAAAAAAAAGTAAAAAGTTTAGGATTTTTTCACCAAAAACCTGTGTTCTTTACTAAGTAAGATGCCTCTTTAAAAAAACGAAGATTTTTTGTTAAAAAGTAGCTTTTCAGGAAAAAGTAGCTGATTATCAGCTAAAAAGTAGCATTTTCACCTGACAGCAAAATAAAAAAACTACCAGAAAAACGATAACGGTCCTATATAAAATATTTAGAAATAACAATTGCAATCTAATAATTTCTATGATTTGAAGGGAAAAATCTGTGATGCTCCCCGCCCCCCCCCCCTTCTTCTTCTAAAAATGTTTTCCAATCCCTCTGCTAGACTTGAAACGAAAACATTTATAAACTTTGTCGATATATCACCCAATCTCAGATTCTATGTTTATCACAAAAAATAGAATTTTTATTTAAATATTGTTAAAATATTGGGGTATTTCTAAAGAAAAAATTACGAAAAAATTATTTCTGATTATATTTTTAACTCAAAATTATTGACTTTCATTAAAGATTTTATGAGGCCTTTTCATATTTTTTTCAACAGATCTTATAAGCTCTTTTTTCAAGCTCATTTAGAGGAAAGCAGCTTAACATTTTTTACTATTTAAATTCTTTTGTTGACCATCGTAATTTTCGAAGTTTACACATAACGCAAAACACTGGCTCCTTTAGTGATTAACTGGAAATAAAAAACTGGAAGTGTTACATAATTATATAATTTTAAGTTTTCAAACCAGTTGTCAGTTCTGTTATTAAAAAAGAATGGCACCATGAAGATAGCAGGGAATGATCGTTCAGAAAAATTGTAAACCAAAAATTTGAAGCCATGAAGTTTGCTCTGCAGTAAAAAAAGAACTGGCAAATGATCCACTGGTTAATGTTGTTTACATATTGTTTCTAATATTAACAGGGTAGCTCTCAAATAGCTCTCAAATATTTTTTGAAAATCAAATTTAAAAACATAGTTGTTTTTTACTACAGAATTTGGTACTTGAGTTTAAGAGACCATGTTCTGGTGAGGGGGGGGGGTAACATAAGTATGGTCTAAATAAAATCTGGATTGAGAGCTTGATATTTATCTATATTTTTAGTTTGGTTTCTCTTTGTCTTTGGTTTTTTCAACCCTCTTTAAAGAATTTGATCTTTCTTTGTAAAAACATCAAAATTTACAAAGATTTTGATCATCTAGAATAACACTTAATGTCACTACTATGTTTACATAAATTTTCTTTTTATCTGGAAACTATATCAACTGTTTTCTCGAAATATTTGTTATTTCTCTAACCTCTAATCTTCTACACTGAAGATATAAATATTTCTTTTCTTCTGTATGAAATTTCACTAATTTAGTTTTAATTTAATGATTCGTAGATCATTTAGTTCTAATGCCCGAATTGAAGGAGGATGAATATGAGACTATCGAACCCAAGGAGGAACTGATACTGGTGTATGATGATTATACTGATGGTGTTCGTCAACGGGTTGCTGTGGGGGTCCAGCATGTCCCGCATATCCTTGATATTCAACCATTCCCTCCATACCGAAATCATGTTTGATATACTCATCCACATTCACATCTGCAAATCCTTGGGACACATGGGGCCAGTCCTGTGGGTGGTGGGTGGGCGGGGTAGGCTCAAGGTGGGGCATGTGGGCGTGTGGGGAGGATGGTTCCTGTTTAGCTAAAGCTCTCTCAAGGATGGATCCAGATGAAGAAGACGACCCGGGAGCGGGTGAGTCCGGAGCACCGGTCATTACGCACGCGGTTGCGCCGGAGAAGAAGACTTGAGCTCCGGGACCGCCATTTTGATTTATATGATGCGGGGACATCAGGGGCTCTCTAGCAGCTGGGGTGGGGGGCTGGTGGGCAGGGTCAGGGGAGGGGTAGGAGGCATGGTGTCCTGGAGAAAGGGTGGCAGGGGAGATGGTTTGTCCCTGGAATTGATGTTCTGGATGAAGGATGGGGGAGTGTGGGTATCCTGGTTCCTGTGGAAAGGGAGGACCTCGGTAGAATCCGTTGTGTCGAGCCATGTGAGCTGGGAGCCCCATCCTCTCCATCATAGCAATCTGCTCCTGGTCAGGGGCCTCACAGAACCCTTGTCTGAACCCAGGGGGAGGGGGACCGTAACCCATCGCGTACTCTTGCGGCCATTCGTGCATGAACTCGTGCGGCATTCCGCCGGGGGATATCCGACCACCGAAATCTGGACCGCCAGCGCGTAACCGCATGTCATGATGGAATGGAAATCCTGGATGCATTCCTTCAGGGAATCCTTCGGCAAGTCCCCCAGGGGAGGGAGTGGAGTCAGGGCCCCCTCGTAGGAGGTCAATACTTTTCTTTGATCTCCCTCGACGTTTGTTATCATATCCTTTCCCTGCAAATAAACAAAAGTTTTAAAAATTGATCTTGAGAAAATACCAAAATATTTTAAAGAATTTTTTCTTTGGAAAATTAAACTACGGTGGTTTTCCCTCGGTTATTGAGTTTTCCTTTTATTAGTTAAAGCCAGTAAATCCCCCAAACTGGATGAGTGTAGAAAGCATATTTACATATTTGCGAAAATTGAAAATATGAAAAATTTCCAAAAATAACGAGAATGTCAGAAATTGATTGAATCTTGCCAAGTCTATTAGCGCGTTAATAAGGGCATACTGCGATAGTGGATAGACTGATAGACAAATATATAGATCGACAGATAGACTGGTAGAAAAATAATTTTTGTGTAATATAGATAGATAGTGAGACAATTGACAAAAATGTGTAATGACATGTGTGTGTTGGATTGTCAGCAGGGAGCAGAAGTAAAAACAGTTGGAATATCAATAATTAGACCTTGTACTTGTACCTGTACCTGTACCTGTACCTGTACCTGTACCTGTGCCTGTACCTGTACCTGTACCTGTACCTGTACCTGTACCTGTACCTGTACCTGTACCTGTACCTGTACCTGTACCTGTACCTGTACCTGTACATATCCTGGAAAGACGTTATTTTGAATTTTCNATAGATAGATAGATAGATAGATAGATAGATAGATAGATAGATAGATAGATAGATAGATAGATAGATAGATATATAGATAGATACATAGATACATAGATACATAGATACATAGATAGATAGATAGATAGATAGATAGATAGATAGATAGATAGATAGATGGATAGATAGATAGATAGATATAAAAACAGTTAGTTAGATAAGTTTATAAATGGCTAGATAGAGCAAAAGAAAGAAGAAAGAATGAAAAAAAACTGAACTAGAAAAATACAAAAAAAAGATAGAGAGTTAGATGGATGGAGGGGAATCGTGGATATCCGTGTAAATTAAGTGTGTATCCAATCAGTCTAACGAACTCAAGTGTATCAGACGAATTGATGAATCAATAAATGAAATTATAAATGAATTTTAAAAAACCACCAAGGATTTATAAAATAATTGTTAATGAATTACTAAAAAATTAATGGTTGAATAAATGAATTCATAAAGTTAATAAATTAATGATAGCAAATATTATTGCTAGAAAAAGAGGTGCGATATTGCCTAAAACAAAATAAATTTAATTTCCATAATATAAGCATGAATATACAAAGCATATTGACGTGATTGTGTGATTGTTCATATTTTTTAGGGAATACGCTGAAATATGGATAAATGCATTCATATATTATCTATTTCTAATATATCTATATATACATATATAATATATATATTATATGGCTGTATAATGTTATCTTTAATATTGTTAATTTGNTGGCAGTATAAAGTTATCTTTAATATTGTTAATTTGACCCTAGGGAATCCTTTTCCATCTATTAACGCTATCTATCTATCTATCTTCTATAATTATCTATCTATTAATCTGTCTTCTATACTCTTTTTAATCAACTCTGTGTCTCAAAGTATAACTTGCCTCCTTCATCTACGTTTATCTTAATTCACGACACTTCGCGCCACTCTAGTCTATTAAGTATGCAAAAAAACCATAACTAAATAAACCGAAAAACGAAAGCTTTAATGCTTTATAATATTTCTGCTCAGAGCTGCAACGCGGGTTAGTAACCCTTGCAAAAGGAATGACGACACTTCAAAATCGCCCAGATCTCAATTATTTATGCCTAATTCTCCATATTTCTTCCCTTGCGATATTCTTATTTTCTACCTGAAAATTGATGATTATAAACTGTGGTTTCTCTGCTAAAGCGTCTTAAGTGTTAAGTAGATGTAGCTCTGTATTGAATATATGAATAATGTTGGTCCCTTTAAACAGCTGTTGGGAGTGTTAAGTAGATGTAGCTCTGTATTGAATATATGAATAATGTTGGTCCCTTTAAACAGTCCAAGGAGCTCAAAGTTCTCAACAACAGGAAGTAGTTGGAGATATTTAACTAATAAAGCAATAATCAGAACAGCTTCTCAGTTTTCATATTTATTAATACAAATTGTTTCAGATCTCTCGATCCTCATCAGTCAATATTCATGGGTTAACTGATGAGGATCGAGAGATCTGAAACAATTTGTATTGATAAATATGAAAACTGAGAAGCTGTTCTGATTATTGCTTTATTAGTTAAATATAGAGATAATTAGATAGATAAATAGAGTTAGATAGAAAGATAGACAGACAGATAGATAAATAGATAGATAGATAGGTAGATAGATAGATAGATAAATAGATAGATAGATAGATAGAAAAGGGAATTGTGTAGGTTGAAAGATTAGTGAATACAACTGCATTAGTTAAAGAGATGGTTCTGTTTTTTCATCTTACCTTTATTCATCTAAAGCAGGATTATTGGCAACCGTCCTATTATAGGATAGATAGACAGATACATGCATCATTAGATTGTCAAAAATTAAAAGAATAGATAGATAGATAGATAAATAGATATATATCTAGATAGATAGATAGATAGATAGATAGATAGATATATAGATAGATAGTATGTAGCTCTGTATTGAATATATGAATAATGTTGGGGTTAAGTTTAAATATCGTTAGAGGTAGGTTAGCTAGGCCGGTTAGACAGGCTGGGAGCGCATACTAAACCCATTTTTCAGTAATTTGATATCCCTGCCCTTAGTTCTTACTTTACACTGATATTTCATGTTCAAACTGTAATTAAGGGGTATCAGGGATACTGACAGGGTGATTCCGTATAAAGCATTATATATACAGGGTGTACCGGGATACACTGTCAACTAGCCAAATTTATGAGACATTACGGATACGACGTTCTGACCTCGTAGCTCCTCAAGTATGAAGAAAGCACATGTATCCGGAGATATATTAAATATTTAAATCATTTTTCTTCTTCAATATAGGTCTTCATTAAGAGGAGTTTTGATTAATTTAATCTTACAAGCGATTTACTTTAGTTTGACGTGGATATATACAGGGTGATATACACCAGAATACGGGTTATACCGAGTCATAGGGTGTACCAATAAAAAGGGTGTTATGGGAGATAGTGTCTTCCGGGATAAAGGGTGTACCATGGGATTAGATAAAGAGTGTACCGAGATAAAGGGTGTACGCGATAAAAAGGTTGTACCGAGATAAAGGTTGTACCGAGATAAATTGTTTACAGAGATAAAGGGTGTACGCGATAAAAAGGTTGTACCGAGATAAAGGTTGTACTGAGATACAGGATGTACTGAGATACAGGGTGTACTGAGATAAAGAGTGTACCGAGATAAATTGTGTACCGAGATAAAGGGTGAACCGAGTTGAATTGTATACCGAGATAAAGGGTGAACCGAATATCGGTTAACTGGGGTAATGGGTGTCCCTGGACAAAGGGTATACACGAATAAATACAGAATACTGGGTGTACTATTGTGCTTAGCGAACCAGTGTACAGACATGGGGAACCAATAATGAATGTTGGACAATTTAATTTTCATATTTTTATGATATCCGTTTTCTGCTGATCCTTCTCTCTCAACCCTGCTCTGTATTACCGAGGATGGTTGAGTAAAGAGCCGGCCTTGTAAGCCAACCTCCCTCACGACCTCGTTGTAAACCTCTTCAAATCCTCACCCAACCTCGACGCTGACTCTATACCATCCTACCGCCGGCCTGCCGCCAACCCTTGGTAAAATGCCGCCAGCACTATGCGTACAAACCAATCTTTTGCAATCATATAGCATTCATTCTTTTTAATAAGCCCCCCCCCCCCATCCACCAAAATGAATTTAACAGCAGTTCATATTCTAAATTTAAGATAATACGAATGGAGAATTTATTACAGAAATAAAAAATTATAAAGATATGTTTGTCATTTTCTTTAATTAGACATAGCCTTAGTCGTTCTTCTGTTTCTAAATATAAAGTTGTAATCTCTGTTTGTCTGTCTGTTTGTTTTTCCGATCATAACTCAGGAACCCCTGGACCGATTTGCATCAAATTTTGATTGGGGAACTCGGGAACACCACGTAAATGTTCTTAGCTTGATTTTGAGATTCTAAAATGAGTGGGTGCACTCTTAATGTAAAAATAGCTAAAATCATAATTTACGACAAAGCGCGGGTAAACGGTGGGACTAACTGGGCAACGCTAGTACAGCATAAAGTTTGGATAGGGTTTGTTATATACGTGTATGGGGGGGTCATAGATTCACGAAACCTCCATAAACATAAACACTGAAGAAAATTTCTCGAAAACAAGCAATCCAGAAAAAAATGTTTCCACAACTGAACAAACGAAACGTATTTGAATATATTTAAATTTTATTTATGATTGTGCTTTACTGTTTCAAAACAACAAGACTAGGCATAAATTATTAATTTTTAATAATACTAATGTTTAAGAATCAATTT